GCAGTGTGGCAAGAACTCGCCCCAGTTCTTAAATGCATTTTTTATACCTCAGCCACTCCGTCTTTTTGGTGTACCTGTCTTTACCTTCTCTCCCTTACTACCCTTTTCCTTCTGCTTTTAAGTTTTTCATCTTTTAAGGCTCAAATGTCATCTCTTCAAGGAAGCCCTTCCCAACTTTTCTGGCAGAGTTAAATGCTGCTTTATCCGTGTCCATATGCTGTAGTTACTTCCATGTCTGTCCTGATTTTTCCATCCCTGGGCCTTAGCATATAGGATGTGCCTAATAAATGGAAGAATAGGTCTTGAAAAATAAATACAAGATCCAGAGATACCAAAGGGTAAGAAGAACATGCCAAACATAGCCAGCAACAAGGCCTAGGAGGACCTGGGAGCTTGGGTGTAATTCTGCAGGCTGCAGGCTCCTCCAGACAGGTGTGCTGTGACCTACAGGGAGTTTCTGTGAGTTTCAGGCTTTTCTCTCAATTTCACAGTTGGAGTCCACATTAAGAGAGAAGTCTCAACAGCTTGAGAGCCTTCAGGAGATGAAAATCACTTTGGAAGAACAGTTAAAGAAAGAAACTGCTGCTAAGGTGATATTTTTGTTGGCAATTTAATTAAAAAAAAAGCAGTGTAAAGATTGCAGAATCTGAACATACGTATGTGTGTGCATGACTGGGACATTGTGCTGTACACCGGAAATTGACACACTGTAACTGATGATACTTCAATTTAAAAAAAAGCAGGATCACATCTTGCCTGTTAAAACAAAAACTGCTGTTTTGAAAGTTGGCAAGACTCTCTTTAAGGAAGACTGGAGATAGCCAGGCTGCGTATGGCATGTTCATTGAGGATTTTCCTGGCAGATGCTTGGCTGTTGTGGTTGTCAAAGGAAATCCCTAAAGTTTGTCCCTGTTGCTGTGATGACTACTGATTTTACAGCAGCTGCTTTCTGATGATGAATTACTGTCACCAAGCTGCTGGGGGTGGGGTGGGGTGTGGCACTTCCATTCATTTTTATTTTGGCTCTAATACCCAATTCATTTTAGGACCTAGAGCAAGTAGCGTAGGCAGCTTACACCCTTACCCATAAAGGTAAAGGGAGACTAACAGGGTAGAGGGAGGTAATGGGCCTTTCCTCTCTAGTAGTTGGAAACTGCAACTGCCTGGATTTCCTGAGTGGTTCTTACCTGTGGCTCCCCAGCATTAATCATCATTAACTTGTATTTTGTAGGTTACCGTTGAACAACTAATGTTTGAAGAGAAGAACAAAGCTCAGAGGTTGCAGACGGAACTCGATGTCAGTGAACAAGTCCAGAGAGATTTTGTAAAGCTTTCTCAGACCCTTCAGGTGAGGCATTCGGAGAACCCCCTAGAACAGCACCAAGGAGGCACTTTAGGGGTTCTTGGTACCCAGGAGAACTTGCCAGGCCCTGACTCGACCACTGACAGAAGTCAGGTTAGATCATGGCTACCCCCAGCCCAGCCCCAAGCATCTGCCTGGTCATTTAAGCCGGAAACCTGGTTTGTAGGCACAGACTTGTCTCCCTTTCCATTTTCCTCGTCCTTGCTGGTCGCTAAGGGTAAAGTATAAAGTCCTTAGCATATAAAGACCCTTCCCAGCAGGACTACTCCTAGACTTTGTTCATCTCTCTGCCTTACATTTTTTATCCTAATGTTTTTAAACTACTGTGGTTTGTTGCCCACAACAGAGTATTCCCTCTGGAAGCATCCTTGTCTCATCGCTCCCTTGCTCCTTTCTTTCAAGGCCCTGCTTATTAGCTTTGTCCTCCCCGTGGAACCCTCTCTAGGTCCCCAAGCTGGAACAGTGACATTTAGTATATTGGGCTAAAACTCTGTATAAACTTGTATTTCCCCCTAAATAAACTGTGGGCTCTCAGAGGTCAGGGGTCAGGTCTAATTCATCTCTGTAGTCCCAGCAACTTACACTGGGTCTGTTACACAGCAGCTTTTGGGAGTTGCTTTTTGAATTTAATTGTTCTTGCTGCCTCCTTTCTTTGAGGTGACTATTCCTGGGTTAGTTAATCTCCATCTCAGCTAAACCAAAAAGTAAACCAGAAAATCTAGGCAGGAGCCATCTGCCCTTAACTTCACTGCATTGATTCCCTAGGTGCAATTAGAGCGGATCCGGCAAGCAGACTCCTTGGAGAGAATCCGGGCAATTCTGAATGATACCAAACTGACAGACATTAACCAGCTCCCTGAGACATGACACCCTCATAGCAGGACTCTAGCCTGCACTTTGGGTTTTTAACTCATCTTTAGAGCAACATTAATTATTATTTAACTCTTAACTGAAGAAGAAGTCACACAAGAAAAGGAAGACTGGAGAAATGTTTAACTCTAGTGGGAGAAGACTGCAGCACAGGAACAGCACACAGCAAAGGTCATTTGCAGCGAAAAGACCTTTCAAATGGGAACACTAACTTGATTCCAGTGGGGGGTGGGATCAGACTTGGTGATGGAGAAAGTGCTGTTAATCCTTGCCTGCTTTGTCCAGCATTTCCCTGCCCTGAAGCACCATCCCAGCAGTGTTCGGAATGACATTTTCTGTTCAAAGATATTGGAAGAGAGAATTTTTTTTTTTTTTTACCTAGAGTTCATCAGTAACAGTATTCAGCTAGCAGACAGAGGTATAGTATGCTGTATGAATATTTTATATTAAAATATGAAGTTTGAGAGCAGGCTGTTGGCTAGTGACTATTTCCTAGCTCAGTGCATTTTTAAAAACCATTTTATCTTGTGTTGGAGGACCTTAAATGCTACTGAAACTTGCCTGAGAACCATCAGATGGTGGCATACAAAACCAATTCAACTGAATTGGAATTGAATTAATTATGAGAATTTGAAAACTTTGCTGGGGCTTTATATATTGGAAGTTGAAGTTAAAGGAAAAGCACAAGAAACTGCTTGGAAGCACTTTTTCTGCTATGTGGGTATATTTCGTGGGCCCACAGGTACCAGGGTCAAGCTGAACTGGCACCGTCCACTCTTTTGAAAACTTGTTTTAGTTTAGTTATTGGATCAGTGGAAAAAAATTAATAAAACAAGCTATGTCTGACAACATCTAGTATAAATTTGTAAGTCTGCTGTTTATTTTATTTTCAACTTGAATCAAAGGGCCTAAGTATTATTTGTTTCAAGTGTCAAATACAAAAATGGTGATAACTAGGTTTGGCAGATACCTATTTTGTGTTTTTCTTTTATAATTTAGACTTGGAGTGTGATAATGCTTATTACGGTGAAGTTAGGGAAAACCCAGTTAGTTCATCAGTTTGGAAGTCTGCCTTGTCATTTCTGTGAGGTTAGATTCCTTTCCTGTGTGGAGAAAAATCCATGAACCGGTTGCCCTTCGCCACAGCCTTATGAAGTGTTGCAGAAGCACAAGAATGAATTCGTGTTCGCTCTGCCTGCTGCGGTACTGTTAGCCAGTAGAAGGCTGCTCTATTCAGTTCATCACACAGGTGGGTCAAAAGTAAAATCGTTTTCAGATAATTTTTGTGATTGGTGTTGTGTAACAGCAGAGTACCTGAAGGAACCCTATGGGGATTAAGTGGATTGTTTGGCTCACTTAAAGCTGTAGCTTTGCGGTTTAGTGAACTCTTTGTCATAAACGAAGTTGTAGTGGATCAGCCCTAAAGACCTTTGTCGCTGTCTTCCAGAGGACAGAGGAGGGCTGCTCACCTCATTCCTTGGGCTCTTGCTGTAGTCTTACGTTCACGATTATGAATTCGAAAGTAAATACTAATTATGGAAATAGTGCTGTAGACTTGCTGTGCATGAGACATTAATTGGTTTAAAAAATCTCTTTGTATGAAGTGCTACTTGGTTTCCTTTAAAGAAAACATAACCTCATGGAGTTACAGGAAATCTTATTAATTCCAAAATGCAGTCACTTTAAATTATGTAAATGTAAGACGGGTCCCTTGGATAAACCCCGAGCTAATTTGTTTTAGATTATTAAAATTGACACTGTAAATCAAGGTGGGTGAGTCATAATCTTCCTGAATGAGCTGAACTGTAGCTCCCAGGGAACTGCTCGGCTGAGGCTCGGCGCCTGGCTGATGGCTTTCTCCACAAGCTGGCCCTGGGCCAGCAGAATCATGCTTAGGAAACTTAGCAGTCTCTACGGTGGCAGATGCAAATTGTTGGAGCCCACTTTTTTGAGAAAAATACGCTAGAAAAACCCAAACTGAGACTCTTTAAGTTTTGTTAAGTATGAAACACTTCTTTAAACTGGGTTTTCTGTATAAATGGGAAACTAATTTAGAAGGTAGGGTTTAGCCGTTCAAGACAAAAGGTCAGCTGGGGTTCACGAGTGTTCCTGTGCTTGTATTCAGTCTGTGTACACGTTCTCACGCATGTCTAACCTGATTTACCTCCTGCCTGTGACCTACCTTACCATGTGGCTTTTAATTGGCAGTCACTCAGCCACTTCTAGGCGGGTATGGTATTACCTTTCAGAACTCATACTGGCAGGTATAAAAACATTACCTAAAGCTAAAGGGCAAACCCATATGTGCATACTGTTTGTTTCTCCCTTTGAGGTCCTACACCTGCACCTCGTACCCATTCAGTGACATGTATTGGGACACAGAGCACTGCCAAACTCAGCTCTGAAAGGTAATACTGCCTGTCGAGGAAGCGAGCAGCAGTGGCCTTGAAACTGTGGATCCTGAGCTCTGCTCTGGGCAGATCTCAGGTATAACCATTTGTTAACTGTACTGAAGGTGTGTCCTGAAGAAGAAAGTGTTCAAATTAAAGCTGCTGCCTAGTATACTGTGTGGCCTTTTCCTTTGAATCCTAGGATTCTGTCCCTCTTCAGTCATATTTCTGGTGCTACTACTTTAAAATGCAGCTTTTATTCTTTCTCAGATACGGAGAAAACTAAGTAGGGTTCACGGAGGTCTGGCCGTGTACAGCTGAGTGTCTCAGGCCCTTGCCGAGTACAGTTACAGACTTGAGCTTATATACAGTGTACATTCCAATTTTTAAATAAAAGCATTTATTCAATAATTATAAAATAACTATAAAAAGTGATGAGCCACCACAGAAAAGTTCATCCAGAACGCCTCTTTATAAACTAGGTGATGCCGCCTGCTCGTTTCACAGGGCGTGCCGGCCCCGGCCGTGTCAGAAGTTTACATGGTTTCGGATATCATTAATTTGCTTCACCATCTCTCTTATGTGTTCACCCCTGTAAAATCATAAAGGCACTCACTTTGGGGAATACAACAGATGAGTAAGACATTAATATTGATTAAGAATTTAGTAATGAAATATCTTAGAAGTGCTTTGCTAGAATTAAAGGCTTAAGGGTTTAAGTGGATAGTAAAGGCAGTTCATTTACGGCGAGCAGCAGCAAGCACGGCAGCGCGACTGCTGGCAATCCTGCTGAACGTACCCCGTGGCGAGTACCCTGGCCACACAACAGCGTTATCTTATGAGAGGGACGCCCTTTTTGAGCCCCCCACCATCTTCATCTGTCGCATGCTTCCTGTCCTAACTACCTGACACCTGCATGCCAAGTGATCTTATCTGGGCAGAGAAAGGCTGATTTGGGCATTTTGCAAAGGGAAAACTATCTCGCAGCAGCTGACTGGTGGTAGTACTTACTCCTCCTTCAGGATGGACTGAATGCACTTCCGCTGGTAGGCGCTGAGCGTAATGGTGGGCTTCTGAGGACTTAGTACCTTTTCCATCTTTCGCTGCTGATAGTCTTTTTTCATAGTAACCTTAGGTATCAAACAGAACATAGGTATCTTAGCTGTGGTTTCCTACACATTTTTATAGTACCTGTTTTAGTCTGTTCTTTATATATTTTATAAAATTATTTCCTACAGGAAAGACACTTTTAAAAAGTACCAAAGTTAGCCTCCTTGTATCCATTCCTACCTGTTTGATGGCATTGCCCAGATGTCGAAGTTGATCAGGTATCAGCTGTAATTCTTTCTTCATGTCTCTCTCACTATCAGACAGAACTGGAAGCTGAGAGTGAAAACTGTGAAGTACTTTTTTTCATCCTTTAGAAAAGGGAAGCAAACATCAGCTCAGCTTAAGATCTCTGCTCCTTAGGAGAAATACAATCCTACCTGAAGCTCTTAGTTTATGAATCTGGTGTCTGTGAAGGAGGATCCCAGAGGCTGGGCTTGGGGAAAGCATCACTGCGCTGCCTTTTGTAAAACACAGCTCAGAGGGAGAACCTGCTGTAGGCCCGCATGCCTTAACACGGGTGCCCAAGTACTTAGGAACACTGGTAGTACCTGAGTGGGGAGCTGAATGTTACACAGGCCACTGACCTGTTCATAATATCTTCTTGTTTTTCCTTGGCTTCCTCATATTTGTCAGCTAAGCGCTCAGCCATTTCCCGTAGACTTTTCCTGATGGCATAAAAAAAACAGGCGTCGCTAGGGGGCCACCTCCGTGGTGCAGCCAGCCGACGTGCTGCAGCATCCTGGGGTGGGACGCAGGTCCAGTCTCAGCAAACTGTTATTTTTTTCTCCCTAGTTTTGGCACTTACCTCTCCTCTCGACAATAATTGAGATCTTCTAGTTGTTTCTTTTTTTGGTCACATAACAGTTTCACCCTTCAAGAAGAAAAATTTAATCAGAAGCCGGGTCTAAGCCATCATACAGTGTCAGCTCTCGGCCAGGGACTGGTGGTACGGGAACAAAGGCCACCCTACCTCCGCTGAATCTCCTCCTTTGCCAGGTCCTGTTTAAGAATGTACTGTTCTCTGAACACCTGGGTGGCTCTGCTGATGAGCTGAAGACATTCTTCGGGAGGGGGTGCCGTATCTTTTTCAGATGATCTTTAAAAAGGAAATTTCTATCATTACTTTCCTTAGCTGAGCGAAACAGCTGAAAACAGACTCAAGTCATAACTCCCCTTTCCCCTTCTTTCCACACTTCCTGTTTATCCTTCTCAAGCGCCTCCGCAGACTGTCCCTCTGTGCTCACTAGCTGATTAAACTGCCCTGTGATTTTTCCAACTCCAACATAATAAAAAGTCTATGAAATGAAACAGCTGAGGACTGAGAGGATAAACAGGAATTATGAAAACAGAGAAGGGAGTCACTTTTTAAAACCTGTATGACCCCAATCCCGTACTTCAAAACCGCTGGATTTGCGACACTGCGTTGCAGAATGCTTCTGATGTGTTTTTCAAAGGAATCCGGGGTTTCGGCCAGAATCCGGAGGGGAGACTCTGCCACTTCAACGTCATCTCGGGTACAGAGCAGGGGAGGAGATGCTGGATGGACTGTGCTTCTGCAAAATAAATAAGGTTTACCATGGAGTTATTTGCTATATTAGAGGAAAGCATAAGTCACATTAATCCAGAACTGAGAACATAAGGAACTACAAAGTGTTACAAATACTCACAATGGCAACTTCAAAAAGCTTGAAAGAGTGCAAACTTTTAACAGCACAGTAAGTGACTGCGGTGACTGATGTCTGGGAGTTTGTTAACAACGTCACTTCACAGACATGTATTTGAAGGAGCTGGCAGAAACATGATTTGAAGGTATCCAGATAACTAATTAAGAGTTTTTTCCCCCGTGGGATTCATGATTTTATTCTGAAGTAACCTAGTATGATTAGGTCTTATTTCACTAACGGTAGGACAGGTTTTTAAAAACCATGCTGAGGCAGCAGGCAAAAAGATACTTGTTTGCAGTGATTTTTACTTCTTAGTCTTGCTAGTTTTCAGTCTCTTTCACTATAAATGTCACAAAATTGACAGTGAATTATTTTCCTTCCTAAATGGTGTAACTTGTCAGTTTTCAAAAAGCATGGAAATTCTTCTCAGGACAGTAAATGAATGCCAGCATTCTGAAATACATCAATATCTAGAAGCACATGCTGCGAACTAACACCAAGAGACGGGGGAGAGGGGCCTAGTGTTCTGGTACCCCCGTGGCTCCTTAGAGACTTAAGCCCTGCATTTACAAAACTCAAATGACCTTCCATACACTTACAGCTTAATATAGGCTCCGAAAGTTAAGAAAGGAGGATTGTGAGCTCAGCTATGACACCACTTTTCTTCCACTTTACAAAAGTGAGTATGAACTCTGAAGTCAGAAAGCCCTGTACCTGTAGCGCAGGTCTAAGTGTCACCTGTGACTCTGGCATCATCTTAACCTCCAGCCCTGTTTCCTCTTCTACAACATGAGGAGAACAGTGCTGTCCTTACAGGATTGCTGTGATGACAGGAGGCAGTGCAGGTAAGTGGCTTATTTCTGAGCCTGGCACATAAACCTACTCCCACTAATAATAGAGTTCAGTACTTAATTTTAGTATTCTTTCCACGCTTGGAAGTACAGCTCTTGACTCTCAGACAGCTAAAGGAGATGCCAGAAATTATGCCTAAAATAAATCCTTCCAGAGATGGCAGGAGCAACAGAAATAATCACCCTTCCAATCCTGAAGTCAGAAGCCAAAGCATAAACCATGTATCTGCAGACATGTATCTTACTAAGGACATCTTCCCAGCCTAGATTTTGCAGAATTAATGAGAACTGTATGCAAATACAAAGTGGGACATACAGTAAAGGCCTTATGAGGCATTCGCAGGTACTGGTGATGCAGATCATCGTAGGCCCCAGTATGTCAGGGACAATCCAGAATCCTCGAATCGGAGCTGGCTGCCTGGAAAAACACAGCCACAGTTAAACCACAAAGCAGCAAATGCGGCGGATCCAAAAGCAAAGACATGGCTGAGGTGCGTGGCCGCCTCAGGCCTGGGCTAATAGTTACCTGGGACACGTGATCAGTGCAGGACTCTCAGAGGTGGTGGCTTGGAAACCTCTACCACTTAAAGCTCTGATTGGTTTGATTCCAGCTGTCACCGAGCAGCCTTGAGGCCATTTCTGACTTGTAAGTCTCTCAGGAAGCCACAGCCTCACGGTGCTCGCTGTCATCTCAGCAGTTAGCACGATATGAAGTCAGTTCTTTGCGTGTCTGTCTTCCCTACCTGCACGTAAGCCCCAGCTGCCTTCGCGTGCCTAGCCAAGCACAGGTTAAGTGCTCAGAAACCTTTGACTGAATAGAACTTTAGTGTCTTTCTCACACTACGAATTCAATGCGGCCCAACATCTCGGTCACAGGAGCAATTTACTGTGCATCGCAGGCATCTCCCTCCAAGTCTTGGTTCTTACTTCACTGAGAAACAGAAAACTGGACCGCAGACAGGAACTGTCTTTCCTGCCAACACGCTGTCCTGCCCCCGTGGTCAGCCCACCCCCAGAGCACAGTGCTGACGCTGGGCTGTTGATGCCGTCTCCTCCCGCCTCTCCTGAGCTGTGCGTCATCCACTCTGTAATCCCAAGCCCCCTCCTGTCTGTCTACCCTCAGTTATAAGCAGGTTCACATCTCTTCCACTGAAAACACTCTCCACTCATTTCGCGCTCTCCTTAACCTGTTCCTTCTCCCCTTGCCTTTAGAACCAGCTGTCTTCAGCAGCAGCCTGCAGGCCCCGTTCCCCTTCCACATCTCTCGTGTACCTTTCATTGCAGGGGAGGCGTGTGGCGGTGAGGGGAAGTCGCGGAGGTTAAAAAGAACTTGTAATTTTAGTGTGACATCTACATATAGAAGAGTGCATAGCACACTCATCACTATCCAGGCCAAGAATTAGAGCCCGGCCGTGGCCTAAGCCCTCTCGTGTGGCCCTCCGCAGTCACGGCCTCCCACTTGCCAGGGAAGTAACCACAACTCCAATTTTTACGATATTTATGCTCTCATTTTGCTTTATAGCTTTCCTAGCTCTGTATTCATTCCTAAGCAATATTGTTTAATTTTACCTGTTTTTGAAATGTACCTAAATGAGATTATTTATTTTCCCCATTCACTTTACAACCTGGGGCCACCCCACCCCCGGCCCCCAAAAGCGCTTCCCTGTGGTTGTCGAGGAAGCGCTGAGTTTTCCAAATCTGGATGCTACGCTCTTCACCACTTTGCTGTGCTCATTTGATGCTGCAGCCTGCTGCTGCCTCTTTGAAACATCCCCCTCCTTGGACCCTTCCCCCCGATCCTCCCTCGGGCTCCCTGGGTTCCTTCCTGGGCTGGGCTCCTCGTCCTCCACTCACCGCTTGTAAGAAAGTGTTGCTCAAGACTCTCTGCTCAGGTCTCCTCTACTCATTCTAGGCCCTTTCCTGAGGAGCCTCCCCCGGAGTCGTGGCTCCAGTGCTGACAACTCCCGCATCTGAACTGTCCTAGCCCAGACCACGCCCAGCTCCAGACCCACACACGCACCCGCTGTGCGGACGGCCTTTAGGACAGGACACTGCACGTGTCCCAGTAACCCATCCTGAGTCCTCCCACACCCACTCTTTGTCCTACATCCCACTTTCCTGGAGGGTTCCACATCTCCTGTTACCCCAGCTGGAAACCTGAGAGCCATTCCAGATACTTCCCTTTACTCTTTTCATCAGATACTTACTAAGTGTCTCACAGGCACCTGTCAGACACTGCGTGAACACACATGAGGCGATGGTGTAAAGAAGGAAACAGACAGACACGGTCTCTGCCCTCATGAAACACATGTATTCTAGTAGTGGCGACAGACGTTACACACACACAGACAGCAACTGGAATACGTGCTGCAAAGAAGAGTAACAGGAGGACCTGAAGGGGCTCGGGAATCAAGGGAGCCCTCAGGAGCTGACGTGAAGTTAAGACCAGAAAGAAGAATCAGAGTGAGCCACGGAGGACGGGGGCGACGACGGGGGAAACGCCCCCAGCCAGAGCACGTGGCACGTGCGCTGGCCCCGAGCAGGGGAGAGCTTTTGATGCGCAGACTCTCAGGGGTGAAGCACCACGTCGCAGGCAAATGTAACGTACGCGCACGCACCTCAGTTACTGAAACAGCTGTGGCCCGTGCTTGGACGGCAGAGAAGGCCCTTACCTGCACGGCAATGGCTTGGTGCAAAGGATGTGTTCTACGAAGCATTTCTGTTCTGTAGCTAGTTCCTGCAAACTGTCCTTATCTTCTTCATCTACAAAAGAATACATTATGTAAGTTAAATGACACTTGCGGCAAAAGTCTCCAAATTAAAATGCTGACAATGTTAGTTAAATGAAATTAAGTTCTTGCCTCAGAACACTGCTTCTTAAAGGCTATGGCTCTCTGACATAGAAATCTCCTTTCCACAGGGTCTAGATTTCTGCCTCAAGGAAAGTGGCTTTTCCTCGGTAAAGTTTCTAAATGCAGAAATGTTTCACTGAGGAGAAAAATTCCAGAAATCTTTCCCTTCCAGTCCCTTCCTCACCTACACCAATTTTACTTTTATAACAGCTTTTTGAAATGTAATTCACAATACCACACTTAAAGTGTACAGTTCAGTGGATTTTTAGTATATTAAAAGTACCGTACAACCATCAGCACAAAAAATTTAGAATATTTTCGTTACCCAGAGAGAAACCCCCGTCCCCACTAGCAATCACCCCCTGGTATTTCTGCCAGGCACCCCAGGCCTAACCAGCAACCACTGATCTGCTTTCTGGCTCTGTTGACTTTTTATTCTGGACATTTTCTGTAAGCGGAATCATACAACAGCTAGTTGTCTGCGACTGGTTTCCTTCACTCAGCATAAGGGTTCATTCATGTTGGGACAGGTGTGAGTACTTCCTTTCTATTGTTGAATAGCCCACTGCATGGTCAGACGATATTTTATTTATCTAATCATCAGCTGATGGACACTTGGCTATTTAGCTATTATGAATAATGCTGCTATGAACATTCATTTGTAAGTTTTATCCAAGTGTGGACATATGTTTTCATTTATCTTGAGTGGAACTGCTGGGTCATATGGTAACTCTATGTTCAGTCATTTGAGGAACTGCCAGACCGTCTTCCCAAAGTGGCTGCATCATTTCACATTTCCATAAGCAGTGTATGAGGGTCACTATTTTTCCACATCGTTAATAACACTTTTAACTGTCTCATTTCCGTAACTGAACATGTTTTCATGTGCTTATTGGCTATTTGTATATTATCAATGGAACAATGTCTATTAAAATCCTTTGTTTTAAAAATTGGGTTATCTATCCTTTTCCTATTGAATTCTAACAATTCTTTCTATATTCTAGGTACAAGTCCATTATCAGATATACAATTTACAAATACTTACTCCCATTCTAGGGGTTGCCTTTTCACTTTTGTGATAGTATTTCCTTGTAAGCGTTCTATAGTTTTAGTCCTTGTATTTAAGTCTTTGATCCATTTTGAGTTCATTTTTGTGTATGGCATGAGGTAATGGTCCACTTTCATTCTTGTGCATGTGGATGTACACTTGTCCCAGCACCATTTGTTGAAAAAGACTATCCTCTGCCCCACTGAATTGAACTGTTCTGGCATCCTTGTTGAAACCAACTTACCGTAAAGGTATGTTTCTGAACTCTAAATTCTGTTCATTGACCTATATGTGTATTCTTATGCCAATATCACACTGTCTTGATTACCATGTATTTGTAATAAGTTTTGAAATTGGGAAGTGTGGGTCCTCCAAATTTGTTCCTGTTTTTCAAGATTGTTTTGACTATTCTAGGTCACTTGAAATTCCATATAAATTTTAAGATCAGCTTATCAGTTTCTGCAGAGAAGCTAGCTAGAATTTTGGCAGAGGTTGCATGGAATTTGTATATCAATTTGGGGAGTATTGCATCTAACAATATTAAGCTTTCTGATCCATGTACACAGGATGTTTTTCATTTACTTAGGGTCTTCTTTTTTTCTTTCAACAATGTTTTAAAGTTTTAAGACTGTGCTTTGCACTTCTTTTGTTGAATTCATTCCTAAGTATTTTATTCATTTCAATGCTGTTATAAATGAAACTGGTTTCTTAATTTTGGATTGTTCATTGCTATTGCACAGAAACAGACCTGATATTTGTTTGCTGATCTTGTATCCTGCAACCTCTCTAAACTCATTCGTTAGTTTAAGCAGTTTTTCAACGGGTCCCCTATAATTAACTATGTAAAAGATCATGTCGTCAGAGAATATAGTTTTACTTCTTCTTTCCTAATCTGGATACCTTTTATTTCACTTTCCTAGCTAATTTCCTGCCTAGAACCCCCATTATAATATTGAATACAAGTGGCAAGAGCAGACATCCTTTTGTTCCTGATCTTAGGGGAAAGTGTGGAAGACAGAACTTATAAACAATTAAATTGGACCTGTAGCTACAAACATTTCCAAGTAAAGTGTTGAAGATGTGGTCTGAGTTCTTGCTGATTACGGTAAAATGTGAGGAAAAATAAAATTGAGGGAAGAATTATTAAACAAAAAGGAACAAGGGACTTGGTGATCTAGGAAATTCTCAGCCTATTTGGATGGCAAAAGGTGCTAAAATTAAGAGATTCACATGAGGAAAGCATGTTTAGAGAAAAAGCCACTGGTGTGGCTATTTTGCTAATACCTCAGAAAGATCAAAAGGTCAGAATATTCAGTCACACAAAAGCTCTCTGAAGAGATTAACAATGTGACTTAGATTCCTTCTGGTGTCAGCAGAAGCCAAAAGTAGAGATGGGATTATTCAGGGAAGGTCTGTGGATGAACCTCTACTAGAGTGACTCATGATAAACACAGGAGACCCAAAAGTTCTTGAGGATTTTATACCCAACGAAGCACCACTGGGTTGGACTGAAAGCGTCACAATGGGATGAGAGAAGGCTACTCTCCCCTCTAAATTCCACAGGCAGGAAACAGGCTAATAAAACTACTCACTTACAAATACTACCTTTCCTGAAAAATGAAGAACCATGCTGAGGGCAGAGCTGCAAGGATTATCCCCAGGCCTTGAAACATAATGGAATTTGGGATTTTAAATTTCTTGGGACCTATGGCTCCTTTTTCCTTTCTGTTTTCTCCCCTTTTGAACTGCAGTATCTTTAACTGATACCTATACCTGCCCCACATTCTGTTCTGAGAGCAGATAGCTGTTTCATAGGTCCACAGAGAGAGGACTTTTGCTCCTGGGTAGATTCTACTTAAAGTCTAACTATAATTGATATAAGTGATTCAGATGATGAGACTGGGGACTTCATGACATTTAGATGAGATTTTGAACTTTGCGTTTGTCTAGAGCATGTTGCATGCAGGTCAGATGTGAATCTTTAGGGACAGAATGTAGTAGGAGGGACAATGGACTCCCCAAAGATGGCTGTGTTCTAATCCCCAGAACCTATGAATGTTAGGTCACATGACAAAGGGGAATAAAGATTGCAGATGGGATTAAGATGTCCATCAGATGTCTCTGAAACAGGGAGGTTACCTGGATTACCTGGGTGGGCCCAATGTTATCACAAATTTCCATAAAAATGAAAAAGGAAAGCAGGAAAGAAAGTCAGAGTGATACAAGTTGAGAAAGACTCAACTTTTGTCCCATCACTGCTGGCCTTGAAGATGGACTATAAGCAAAGGAAGGTAAGTGGGGAGCGTACAGCTCAGTGATAGAGCACATGCTTATTTAGCATGCACAAGGTCCCGGGGTTTAATCCCCAGCACCTCCATTAAAAAAAAAAACCAACACCTAATTACCAGCCCCTCAAAAAAAGCAAAGGAAGGTAACAGAAGCTGGAAAAGGCTAGGAAGTGGGTCTTCCCCTAGAGCCTCCAGAAAGGAACACTGTTTTGCCCGGTGAGAGCATCCTAGGACTTCTAACCTATAGAAACTGCAAGATAATAGATTTGTATTTTTTAAAGACACTAAGCTTGTAACAATTTACTACAGCAGCAACAGAAAGTTAGAAGTACAACTTCTAACTTCTTGGGAGGCCAAGATGGCGGAGTAGACGGATGCTCTTAGCTCAACCTTTCCCACAAATACACCAAGACAGACATCCACAGACCCACCCATTCACTCAGAACACCTGCTGAACTCTGACAGAACACTGCCTACTTCAAAAGACAAATTCCTCACAAAATACGGAAACAAATTAACAACTAGAAGAAATGGTCAAGTTTC